GTGCGGTCGCTGCTGCCTGACGCCCGCCTGTGCGGCCGACCCCCCTCCTCTCTGCCAGCCACGCCTGGCTGGCCATGTGCCTCCTCGCTGGCTGCGCGCCAACGTCCTCGCGAGGACTGTCCCGCGCTGGGCAGCGCTCTCCATCCTCGCCATGCCTGCCCCGGTGGTCACTGAGGGCCCCGCCGAGCGCATCCGTCCCGCCGCTGCTTTCGAAATTATCCGCCTCGTCGCTACGCGCGAGGCCGCGACCGCCAAACAAGTGTGTGGTTGGTTGTTTGTTTGTTTATTTGATTGTTTATTTGTGTGTGTGTGTTCTTCTGAGGGCCCGGTCGCTCGCGCTTCGGTTCTGACCTCTCTTGGCCGCGTCGCTACGCGCCAGGCCGCGACCGCCAAAACATGTGTGTGTGTGTGTGCGTGTGTGTGTGTGTGCGTGTGTGTGCGTGTGTGCGTGTGTGCGTGCGTGCGTGTGTGTGTGCGTGTGCGTGTGCGTGTGCGTGTGCGTGTGCGTGTGCGTGTGCGTGTGCGTGTGCGTGTGCGTGTGTGTGTGTGAGTGTGAGTGTGTGTGTGTGTGTGTGTGTGTGTGTGTGTGTGTGTGTGTGTGTGTGTGTGTGTGTGTGTGTGTGTGTGTGTGTGTGTGTGTGCGTGTGCTTGTGCGTGTGCGTGTGCGTGTGCGCGCGTGTGTGTGGTGTGTTGGTGTGTTGGTGTGTTGGTGTGCGTGTGTGCGTGTGTGAGTGTGTGTGTGTTGTGCGTGTGTGGTGTGTATTTGTGCGCGCGCGCGTGGTGTGGGTGTGTGTGGCTTGTGTGGCTGTGTGGCGGTGTGGCTCGGGTGGTGTGGGGGGATCCGTTTTTTTCATGCCAGGATGTAAGAAAGTCGAGTTAAGAGCATATTATATACAGAGAGGAGGATGCTGTGGGGAAAAAAAAAACACAAGGAAGAAAGAGAGAGAGAGAGAGCGAAGCACACATATATAGATACTAGAACCACGCGCGCTTCGCGCGCGCTTAGGTTCTGTCGAGTCACCAGACAGGAATCGTTGTGAGAAGAAGAAACCTGTCGGGGGCCTCCTGGAAGCAGGTTCGAAGCATTTGGGGGCCGATTTGGGGCTTCTCGGGGCCTCCTTTGGGCCTCTTGGGGGTCTCCTGGGGCCTCTTGAGGGGCCTCCTTGGGGCCTCCTGGCGGCCTCTTGGGGCGAAGGCTCGAGCTTGCGGTTCGTGGTCCCCCTCTGGGCCCCCTCTTGGGCCCGTCTTGGGGCCCTCTTGGGCCATCTTGGGCGCCTCTTGGGCCGTCTTGGGGCCCTCTTGGGCTGTCCTGGGGCCCTCTTGGAAGCTTCTTGGGCCGTCTTGGGACGGTCTTGGGCGCCTCTTGGGCCGTCCTGTAACGTCGGAAAGCCCAAAAGGCGACTTTGTGAAAAATGTACGTTTTACGAAGGGAATGGGCCAATTTTTGCGTCTAGGGGCCCTCTTGGGACGCATGTTGGAGGCTTCTTGGGGCCTCTTGGGGGCGTCCTTGGACGTCTGGGGTCTCCTGGGGCCTCTTGAGGGGCCTCCTGGGGGCCTCCTGGCGGCCTCTTGGGCCGGAAGGCTCGAGCTTGCGGTTCGTGGTCCCCCTCTGGGCCCCCTCTTGGGCCCGTCTTGGGGCCCTCTTGGGCCATCTTGGGCGCCTCTTGGGCCGTCTTGGGGCCCTCTTGGGCTGTCCTGGGGCCCTCTTGGAAGCTTCTTGGGCCGTCTTGGGGCGGTCTTGGGCGCCTCTTGGGCCGTCCTGTAACGTCGGAAAGCCCAAAAGGCGACTTTGTTGAAAATGTACGTTTTACGAAGGGAATGGGCCAATTTTTGCGTCTAGGGGCCCTCTTGGGACGCATGTTGGAGGCTTCTTGGGGCGTCTTGGGGGCGTCCTTGGACGTCTGGGGTCTCCTGGGGCCTCTTGAGGGGCCTCCTGGGGGCCTCCTGGCGGCCTCTTGGGGCGGAAGGCTCGAGCTTGCGGTTCGTGGTCCCCCTCTGGGCCCCCTCTTGGGCCCGTCTTGGGGCCCTCTTGGGCCATCTTGGGCGCCTCTTGGGCCGTCTTGGGGCCCTCTTGGGCTGTCCTGGGGCCCTCTTGGAAGCTTCTTGGGCCGTCTTGGGGCGGTCTTGGGCGCCTCTTGGGCCGTCCTGTAACGTCGGAAAGCCCAAAAGACAACTTTGTTGAAAATGTACGTTTTACGAAGGGAATGGGCCAATTTTTGCGTCTAGGGGCCCTCTTGGGACGCATGTTGGAGGCTTCTTGGGGCGTCTTGGGGGCGTCCTTGGACGTCTGGAGGCCATCTTCAGCATCTCGGAGCCCTCTTGGAGGCCTCTTGGAAGTTTCTTGGGCCGTCTTGGGCGCTCCTGGGGCCGTCTTGTCTGACCGGGGAGGCCTCCGGCAAGCCCCGACGAGCCTCTGGGCCCCCCGGAGCCCACATTTGTAGTCGGGGTCCCGGCTTGGGGCCCTCTTGGGCTGTCCTGGGGCCCTCTTGGAAGCTTCTTGGGCCGTCTTGGGGCGGTCTTGGGCGTCTCTTGGGCCGTCCTGTAACGTCGGAAAGCCCAAAAGGCGACTTTGTTGAAAATGTACGTGTTACGAAGAGAATGGGTAAATTGTTGCTTCTAGGGGCCCTCTTGGGACGCATGTTGGAGGCTTCTTGGGGCGTCTTGGGGGCGTCCTTGGACGTCTGGGGTCTCCTGGGGCCTCTTGAGGGGCCTCCTGGGGGCCTCCTGGCGGCCTCTTGGGGCGGAAGGCTCGAGCTTGCGGTTCGTGGTCCCCCTCTGGGCCCCCTCTTGGGCCCGTCTTGGGGCCCTCTTGGGCCATCTTGGGCGCCTCTTGGGCCGTCTTGGGGCCCTCTTGGGCTGTCCTGGGGCCCTCTTGGAAGCTTCTTGGGCCGTCTTGGGGCGGTCTTGGGCGCCTCCTGGGCCGTCCTGTAACGTCGGAAAGCCCAAAAGCAACTTTGTTGAAAATGTACGTTTTACGAAGGGAATGGGCAATTTTTTGCGTCTAGGGGCCCTCTTGGGACGCATGTTGGAGGCTTCTTGGGGCCTCTTGGGGGCGTCCTTGGACGTCTGGAGGCCATCTTCAGCATCTCGGAGCCCTCTTGGAGGCCTCTTGGAAGTTTCTTGGGCCGTCTTGGGCGCTCCTGGGGCCGTCTTGTCTGACCGGGGAGGTCTCCGGCAAGCCCCGACGAGCCTCCGGGCCCCCCGGAGCCCACATTGGTGGTCGAGGTCCCGGCCCCGGGCCCCCGGACCCGGTGCGCCGTTATATGTATATAAGGATCGAAGGAGAGAGAGAGAGAGAGAGAGAGAGAGGGAGAGAGAGAGAGAGAGAGAGAGAGAAAAAAAAAAAGAGAGAAAGAAAGAAGGAGAGAGAGAGAGAGAGACTGACAGAGAGAGAGAGAGAGAGAACACCAAGAAAGAGATAAAGAGAGAGGGTGATCAAGCATAAAGGGAGGGAGGTCGCAAGGGATGGGTGCAGCGACAGGAAGGGAGGACGGGGGTCCGATGTGAACGGGTTTGCATGGACGAACGGACAAGGCAGAAGCGCGATGGTGAGAGAGAAAGAGAGCACACAGAGAGAGGAAGAGGAGGGAGAGAGAGAGAGAGAGAGAGAGAGAGAGAGAAAGAAAGAAAGAAAGACGGGCAACTTTTGAAGCCCGCTGCTCCTCCTCCTCCTCCTCCTCTTCCTCCTTCCTCCCCCTTCCTCCCTCCGTCCTGCTCCCCGTGCCTCCAGCGCCTTCTTCCTCATCCCCTCCTTCCCCCGATCCTGCTACCTTTCCTGCTCCTCCTCCCCTCCTCCTCCTCCCCCCCCGCCCCCTTACCCTCCCTTTCCCTCGTCTGTCACCCCCCCACTCACACACAGAAACAGACACACACAAACACAAACACAAGCACAATCACAAACACAAACAGAAGCACAAACACAACACACACACACACACACACACGCGCGCACACACACACGAACACACACACACACACGCACACACACACACACACGCACACACACACACACACCACAAACACACACACGCACACACACACACCAACACCCACACGCACAAGCACACGCACACACACACACACACACACACATACGCACACACAGGCACACAGACACACACAGACACACACAGACACACACACACACACGCACACACACGCACACACACGCACGCACGCACGTACGCGCGCGCGCACGCGCACGCGCACGCGCACACGCACACACGCACACGCGTACACACGTACACACGTACACACGTACACACGTACACACGTACACACGCACACACGCACACACGTACACACGTACACACGTACACACGTACACACGTACACACGTACACACGTACACACGTACACACGTACACACGTACACACGTACACACGTACACACGTACACACGTACACACGTACACACGTACACACGTACACACGTACACACGTACACACACGTACACACGTACACACGAACACACGTACACACGTACACACGTACACACGTACACACGTACACACACGCACCGCACAGACACACACACACACAAAAACACAAACACAAACACACACAAACACAAACACAAGCACCCCCCCACACACACGCACACACAATCACACACACGAACACACACAGACACACACACAGACACACACACAAACACAAACACACACACACGCACAAAAACACACACAGACACACACACAAACACAATCACAATCACAATCACAAACACACACAATCACAATCACAAACACAAACACGCACACACACACACACACACACACACGCACACGCACACGCACACGCACACGCACACGCACACCTCCTCTGCCCTCCTCCCTCCGCCGTCCCCCCCCTCCCCCCTCCTCCTCCGTCCCTCCTCCCCCCTCGTCCTTCCCCACTCGAGGGGCGTCCTCGGGGTGGCGCATGCCGTAACGCAGATGCCGCATGACGACGAAGGTGCGCTGGGCGCCGGCCTCCCTGGCGCCGCGGCGACCCACCTGCCGGGGGGGTGGAGGAGGAGGAGGAGGAGGAGGAGGAGGAGGAGGAGGAGGAGGAGGAGGAGGAGGAGGAGGAGGAGGAGGAGGAGGAGGAGGAGGAGAAGAAGAGAAGAGGAGCGAGCGAGCGGAAGCCGAGGGGCAGCTGGATCCAGAGAAAGGGAAGGAGGAACAACCCACACAACCCCCCCCCAGCGCTTACACGGTGGAGCCCGAGGGCCAGGACCACCTTGCAAACACCAGGACGGGGCGTGGGGGCCGTTCCTACCTCAAAGCAGACGCGGGCGGCCAGGAGCACGGGGCCTGCGGCAGGCCCGTGCTCACCCGCACGAGGCCCGCCGAGGCGACGAAGGGCTCCTCGAGGGCTCCCAGCGCCTTGAGCAGGTGCAACCACCACACCCAGTCCAGCGCCAGGGCAGCGAAAGCCATGCCCACGTGGAAAGCGCCGCCGACGTGGCAATCGAAGGGGACGCGGGGAAACAGCGCCACGAACGAACCACGGCAAAGCAGGCTGGCGCTCCCGCCACTTAAGAGAATTCAAGGGCCAGCAAGGCTGCAACCTCAAGAATCTCGGACGGAAGTCACCAGCCTAGCGACGAACGAACCTGCCGCCCACAGGGCACAGGATTTGAAAACAGAACAAGTTGTAGAAGCCTCCGAGGATCAAACTCCACATCATGGCTCCTGATCGGTGTACAGTCCACGCTGCGCACTCACTCCGACTCTTGGCCATCTTCATCATCGCCAGGAATGTGACCTAGCCCCACGGCCCCGCGAAACTCAATCCCGCACGCCAGGAGGATGCGCGATGTGTCCAGGAGCCTCTGCTTCTTCAGGGGGGTCCGAACTGCACTGCTGCTCAACTCCAGCTCCCACTTCTTGGTCGCTCTGACCATGTTCCGTGCTGGTCCCGATGGCGACCGCGGAGACTCGAGCCTGACATGGGCTCGAATCGCCTGTGGATGCCTGAGATTATCCAAGTGCCGACGGTTTTCCACTTCACGGCCACCTCCATGCTTACCTTTGCACTTCTGAGCCAGCCCTCGATGATTCTTGGAATCTGAACTGAAATACTGGCAGCACGTGGAACAGAACAAAAGAAAGTGTGGCGAGTCCACCATCGGGTATTCCACTAGGCTGTGCCCTGCCACATGCCATGGCGGGGCTCATTGTCCTCCATGGCGGTCAGGGACTGCTGGAAGGGGGCCTCCTGCTCCTCATCTGCTTTCAACGGGAAATGGTAGTCCAGGCGCTCAGCGTTACAATCATACAGCCACGCTTGAAAACTCCCAACGTACTGCAGTAGCATTTTGTGCAACTTCCTACAGCCCCGAACGAAATCCACGTGCTCGTCCTCTGGCATAATATATGAAGCCCCACGCTTCGCCAATGCGTCCGCCGTGGAGTTGCCAGTCCTCTCAAACTCAGACAACACACCTTCAATCACATCCGTCGGTGTCGCGTGGCCCTTCACATGCTTGAACGCCTGCCGCTGGAAATCCTCATTCTGAGCAATCAACTTCCACACGTTAGCTCTTGGATTGCCTGCTCCCACGGCCAGGCTAGGCGAACGGCAGTAAGACAGCGTTCTTTTGCAGTCTGAGGGCACCGTGTATGATCCCAGAACTTGCCTGCTAACGATCAGCATCGCATAGTCCTCACCACACTTGGCCACTTGAAGCGGGCGCATATCCTTTGGCACTGCACCGAAGTATCTGGCCACCCTCCTGCGTTCACGGTCGTATACAACGACTGACCAACCGGCGCTTCTCATGCGCGGTATGTCCGTATAGAAACCACTCCCGTCAGTGAAAACAAAGCCGCCATCAACATGCACAACGCCTTTACGATCCATATCATAGTAGTGGTGAGCTGGGCTCCTGCTCGAATAAGCAAAGGCTTGAGCAGGGTCAGGAAGAAGGCCACGGCAGAAGAGAGTCTGTAGGGCCTCGGGGGCCTGCTTCATACGCTCGACTGCATTGTGGAGCTCCTGCGGGGGCCTCTCCTGCCTGAAGAAGTGGTACGCGTCGCACTCGAAGAACCTATGATAGAACGTGCCTGGGCAACCATGGCACCTCAAGCACACCGAGGGCTCCCCGTTGAAGGACTTCGAGACCCTGTGCTGGCACCAGTGAGCCCCCGAGCACAGGCCCCTGAGAGACCTCCTTTCCCTTGGCGGCAACTTGCTGCGCTTTGAATGCAGGACCTCATTCATGGGTATCCACGAGAAGGGGCCTTGAGGAACTCGTGAGTCGCCATCTGCGAGCCTGTGAAGAGCTTCCCTATCAATGTGCCTCCGAACCCCATGCTTGACCATCGAGCTCAGTAGGGCGGGCGGAGTGGTCCTGAAGTCCCAGGGCTGCTCATCGTCATCTCTGATGGTGTGGACGTCCTCCCAAGACCACTCAAATCGTGTGGAGCGAGAGGAGAAGCGCGGCAATCGGGTTTTTGCACTTGGCCCAGCGTTGCGGATCGAGTAGCAACGGCCTCGCTTCTTTGAGCAGCTTGTCGACGACCGCCCATATGACGGCCTGCGAATTCATAACGACAGCAAAGGTGTGGACCGCGTCCACCGTCGCAATGACCAAGGGGTCCTGCTGCCAGCCGCACTCTGCCGTCAGCAGCGACAGGCCCACAGACGCGCCTGGTTTGTACTTGCCAACGTTCAAGTACGACGTGCGCAGGGACTGGATCCTCGAACTTGCCACACCGTGGATACTGGAGCCCCAAAGAGATGTGGCCAGGACCCCAGCTCGATGCACCGCTGATTTTTTGACGACCCAGTCCCTGGGGAGCTTTGACTCGCACCCCTCGCTGAAGAGCCTCTGAGATCCTTGAAACCTGAGTGCTAATCCTCCTCATCCTTCCGTCGATGGCATCTCCCCCTAGATCTCTATGAAAGACAGCACGACCAGGGCAAGGAACATCTTCTGGCCAAAGATGTCGCACATGCGCTCTCACTTTGCGGAAAGCTTCATCATCACTGCACAACATGCCACACTTGCCCCGCGAAGTCGGGAGCCTGCGGTCCTCCATGCCTCTTAGCAGCATCGTTAAACCAGTAATCGCCTGCTCTGCCACTTGGGTGGGCCCTCCTATCACGTGGAGGCTGGCATCGTCAATCAAGTTCTTGATTCTGATAAGGTTACACTAGACCCCTATGCTCCTGAGCGTGGTGATCGCCATCAACTTAGCAAACCCTGTCGCACAAGAGCACCCTGCTATGATGGACCCGCTCGCGTTAATGACCTCCGAAACAGATTGTTGGTACACGGCCCTCCTTGGGCCTCTGTGCAGGGCGCGCAAGGGCCCCAGAAGTGCCAGGGGAAAATCAGTATCAATGGCAGCACACAAGAGTTCCTGGTGGCTGACCATTTCATAAAACTTACGGAGGTCTACAAACGCGCTAAAACTGACAAAGCCTAACTGGGGAGCCACAGCCGCAAGGGTGTTGTGATTCCAGGCGGACTTGTCACATGAGGTCTCACTAGAGGCTCCCCAGAAAAACCTATCGGGCAACTTGGGTTACCACTTGGAGACCTGCTTGTGTCTCAACCTAGACCATATGCTAGCAAACAAGGGCAGCAGGCCGACGTGTCTTTCCCCCCTTGAGGTTTGGGGAGGAAGACGATGAGCATGAGCCACATGTCAGTGAGTTCTAGCTCAGCTTCCCACCGATGCAAAATCATGATGAACGCCGCTATTAGAGCCTCCGGCAACTTCTCGAGCCACCTCGGGTGAAAGGAATCCCAGCCTAGACCAGTGTTGGGCCTACACGACCCTAGGGCTGCACGCGCCGCTGCTGGCTCTAGCTCGGGGAGGGGAGCCGCGCCTGAAACATCCCAGGAGAGGGGGTGGGGCTCCAGGTCCCTGGACGGAAGCTTTCAAAGCGAGACCCAAGCCCCCAGCATGGCCTTCAAGGCCTCATGGCCCACGACGGGCAGCGAGTCAGCAAGCGCTGGTTGGGAATTGCCCTGAGGGCCCCGAAAATACTTATGAGCTAGACTCCCTCCTCTCTGGGACGCGAGCTCTGAAACTCCTTCCAAGACTGTCGAGCCGCCGACGCACCCTTGCCCGTTTGCTGCTGCACACGGCGCTGAAGCACGCCACAAACATCAACACGAGAGTCGGGATACTGCAGACGGGCAGGGAAGGCGGCATGCGAGCTTGGTGACACAGACCCCTGGGTCGACACAGCCTCCTCCTCCCCCGAACCCGTCCAAACTCCACCGACCTCCTCCATGCGTGCAACCGCGCTGCTGATCGCAGCATCCTTGCCTGGGGCCGTGGAGTCTTGCGCGCGGAGCCACTGCATTGTCACTCTGCGAAGCGTAAGCCACTTCTGAGTTAGCGCGCTGGCCTTTCTTCGGACACTTTTTCCCCAGGCGCGAGACAAAGGCACTTTTTCCAGACGGCAGCCTGCAACACGACCTGAATAACGGGGCCGTTCAAACTCAGGCAGCGCCGTGTACATGCACAGATAAAGCTCAGCAGAGGAGAACCACCTGCGCGCAGGACTGCCCACGGACCCCCCCCGCAAGAATTTCAAAACCTGGCCAGCCCGAGATGCCCCCTGGAACGAAAGCCTCGCCTTTCTTTGGGGGCCTGAACGCCTCGGGCTGGATTCGCCTGCGAATGTAATTGTGGCTTCCAACTCCCGACATCCTGAGGACAACCGCTTTGCGGGGCCCCACGGGAGTGTCATGCCGAAGGCTTATGCTGCGGACAAAGGGCACAAGCACATCACTCATCACAAAAAAATCAATGCAGCTGTCGTTACACGTGGGCTGTTCAACGCTCACAACCTCCGCGTGCAACACGTTCAAGAAACCATGCCTAAGAAAACTGTCGGTGCCAAAAGGCCCAGCTTCGATGTTCCAGTCGCCCGCAATGCAGAAGGGCAGGCAAGAGGCCCTAACAGCCTCAATGAGAGCTCCCAGGAGCTCCACGTTACCCTTGAGGCCCGCCCCCACCTCCCCGTAAACCGACACGAAGAGAATCTGCA